AAAAAAAAAAAAAAAAAAAAAAAAAAAAAAAAAAAAAAAAAAAAAATGTATCAGCAATCTTCGCTTATTTTCGAATCTCTTCGCGCACTTTTCACATAAATAATCTTTGAAAACTTCATGGAATATTTTTTTGTGCTTGAGTAAAGTTGATTTATTTTCGAAATTCCTCTCGCACTTGTTGCATGAGAAATCTTTTTGATCTTTGTGTACTAATTTTTGATGCGTAGACAAACTTGACTTTTTCACAAATTTCTTCTCACACTGGTCGCATGCAAAATCATTACGACTTTTGTGTACTGATATTTGGTGTCTACTCAAGTGACTTCGGAATTCAAATTTCTTCTCGCACTTGCCGCAAGCAAAATCTTTTCGTTCATTGTGAATAGTGTCACGGTGTGTTATCATGTTTGATTCTAGTGTAAATCCTGCCTGACAAATATCACAAACGTATTGTTTGTCGTCAGAAAAAATTATGTTGTGCTCACTCAAATCATCTTTTGAGACAATTTCTTCGATTTTCTTCTCACTTTTATCCATTTTAATAAATAAAACAATGGATCCTTGCATTTACAGTAACGGACATTAAACAAGTAAAACTAATCTTTTCGTATTATAACGTGTTTTGTCGGATAAGACAATATTCAAATTAATTCGTTTTTACTGTAAACACGTACAGTGTTCGAGGGACGATGTCTTTTTCGTTTATGAGTATTTCGTGGATTATTTACAATTAAGTTACTAATTTATCTGTTTATACATTACTTTCCAAATTTGAACCAGTTTTAACTTGAAATAATAGGTCCAGCTGTAGGTGTCTCTTTTAACTCCGTGGAAACTTTTCCGTTGGTTAAAAACTAGCCATTAAGAGTCGATAATTTTTACGACATTGTTTTAAATTTGTTTAGTGAATTGGGTCATGCTTAAAACAATTAGTTTACTTGTTGCCATTGAATCAATGTATAATTTACGCTTTTATTCTAATTAATATTTTTTTATTCGTGTCTAATTTGAAAACGCAGTAATTTCGAAAATAATGTAAACATTGATTATAACATTTATTTGAATTTCAAATAATAATTCACAGCTCGATCATAACGTTTCTATAAAGTGAGACGATTTAACTTATATATATTACGAACAAAGGGAAGTGCCAATGTCATGCAATTACTCATTTTGGAAGCACAGTATAAGTCTCGGGCAAATTTGAAAAGTCACCAGCAGCCTCGCGCACCACATTGCAAAGAGCAACAGGGATAAGCGCATGTGTTACTCGCAGACTCTATAAACGCACCCTAGTCATCAGTCGCATAATAATAACAATGCGCATAATAAAATATAGTCGTTAACCGAATCGAAAGATTTCGGCCACGCGCTCTGCAGCCGATGCACGAGGGTTTCGAGAGCGAGCGAGAGAGACGAAAGATCAGCCGCCGATGCAGCGCGAGCCCCGCGCGCTTACACTTACTTATATACGTTCGGGCAGGGAACGAGAAAAGATGAGCAATTCAGCAAACTGTGGGTGCTGTACAACTTTGCGAATGAATGAGTGAGGCATCGCCACTGCCTACATAGCGAGACTTGGTAGAGGGGAGACTGAGCAAATTCAGAATAAACGCGTTAGAGTCACCATCGCGCTTTTACACCAATGCCTCGTAAGTTATATTCTCCACTTTTTCCCTTCTCGCTGGCGCTCGCACCCACCACACGCGGTGGCTCGGCATAGGCGTCATCGCTGTTTTCTCTCTCTCTCTCTCGCTCTCTTTCCTTTACCAACTTTGTAACGCTTTGCGTGTATATAGTGCATGTATATATGGTCGATTCTCTGAGGAATTTATCTAACCGGACATTTTTATTCAATAATATGACAAACATGCTGTTTTTCAAGTTTCTTAATTTGATTAAAAATTTAAGATCTTCAAATTTTTTCAAGAGACTAAAAGTAGTCTTTTAATGAAAATAAAACAAAATTAAAGAAATAAAAAATATTATTGCAACATTGTATACAGTTTTAAAAAAATATTTACTTTAGTTTTTTCTGAAGTTTCTTTCAAGAATTTCTTTCAAAACATCCCTTTTATACTGGTTGAATGCTCTATTAAAAAAATGTATTTAACTTCAGCTGTATCTTATTAAAGTAATGACTCTACTCAAATTTACTCTTTTGATTACTGGTTTTTTATACAAACCACGCGCAAAAACTTGAAAATCTTGCCAAGAGTTTCTTAAAATGCAGTATTACAGCAACGATTTGGCTTGAATTAATAAAGTAATTCCTACATTAATTGATAATAATTTTTCTTTTCTTATGATATGATAGGTGAAAATAATGTAGGAGCCCAAAAATACCTAAGGGCATTTGTGAAATGAAGAACGAAATATTAAATTCATGAAAAAAGAAATTCATTCGGAAGATTTGACAAAGAGTCAACCATATATAGTGTAGGCTCTCTAGTGCGAGTACATTCGTGCACGTCCGAAAAAGAAAAGCAGCGAAGTGGGGACGAGTCTGTGACTAAGTCTTGCTTTGCGTTCCGGCCGTTCGCGTGTGTCTTTGGCCTTTTCGCCCGAAACTTAAATGTGTATACGCACAATCGGCTGCGCGGCATAACTCCTCCTAAGTTTAGTGTTGCGTTGGCCGCAGGTCAGTGCGCTGCTTCTCTGCTCGCCCGGATACATTCGGCAAATATAAAACTTTGTCGATTCTGATACTTTGCGCAAACAACACCTCTGTGCTAGTGTGTACGTGAGTGTGTGTGCAGTGCTATTTTTGTTCGCAATCCGCATGCATACACGTGCGCTGATTTATCGCGGACTTATGTTTTCTTCGCAAAACACAGCGCTCGGTAATATTTGCGCGCCTCGAAAATCTGTTGAACAAAGTTGAGCGTACAAATATGCAGCAGCAGCGGCAGCAGCAGCAGCGAGAGCTTCCAGGTAGTCGCTTCAGGTGCAGAGCACTGTTGCCACTGTGGCGATATAAGAGGGAATCGCATTAAGCGTACGTGCTTGCAAAGTGAATCGGGCTGCATCGGATCTGGAGCTGCGGCCACTCTCTGGTTTCTATCATTGGGGCCAAGTAAAAAGGCAAAGAATTCAAATTGAATGAGAGCAAGAAAACAAATTAAACTTAATTTAAAAGGCATCTTTTGCGAAATCGAGTATATCTCTGATTCACCCGGTCAAATCCAGCGGACGGAAGATAGCCGGAATAAGTCGAAAGTGAAACAAGTGCATAGGTGTCGTCTCGTCGTTGGTGGTGGGTCGCGCGCGCTCTCGTCCGTATGCACGCGCATATCCAATAACAACAGCAACATCGGAGCAGGAAAAAAGAAACACAACCACATCGGTATAAAAAAAGAAAAAGGCAACAGCAGGCGCCAGAAACACCACGCACACACACACAGCTTGTTTGGCAATCAAAGCGTATAATAACCAGCACGTGCATATATGTACGTTTGTCTCTGTGTATACGTGCATAAATGTGTGTATCTGTGCTCGGTGCCGGTGAAGAATAAACGCTCATAATATATATACACAGGCGACGCTCGACAGCTGAAAAAGAGACAATCGTCTGGGCCGGTCGTATATAGGGCGCGTGCGGACGCGCAAATATAAAAGGGAAGCGTGCCCCTACTTCGACGTCTCCCTTTGGCTCTCTCTCTCTCTCTATCTTTCTCTCTCAGTGTGAAGGTATATTTAGTGACGGCGCGTGTGCATTCAAGCTTTCTCGGATTTTCGATGGTTATCTCGTAGCGCCACATTTACTCTCATCTGCGAGCCTATACAAGCATAAAAGCCTATTGGGCGCTTTTGAAAGTTTTAGTCGAAAAATTGCGGTGACACACGCGTGTGGCATTTACCTTTTTTTTCCCTCGTTTATTCATGAACGCCGGGCTTTGAAGCGCGCGCGTCCTGCTCCAGCTTCGCGTTCTATTTATATAATTTGCAAATCAATCGGCGCTGCAGCGCGTCCAATTTTGGGCGAGTTACAAATTTCTACGTGGCTTTTGTAAAATCGATTCTTGTGTCTACGTGTTTCTGTGTGTGTGTGTGTATAGTGCGTAGTGTGTCGTGATAGTGAGTAGTAGTTCACCGCACGATTTGAAACTACAGACGCAGCGGAACAATAGCCGTTGATAGGTGGATTGATTTTTTCTTCATTTGTTTTGGCTTTTAATAGCTCGGACGTGGAATCATTCGATCGTGCTAAGTGACACATTGGTGCGTGGTGCGTACACGACGACTGTCAATCCCTTGACCCTGAAACTCGAGCTCCCTGTCGTGTTTCTCGACACATAGAATGTTTTTCTCGAAACAGGCCGAAGTTATTGTGTACACGGCACGGAGCTTGCGCTGGTCAAAGCTACGTCTGAACTGCCGTTGATACGACGCTGTGCCCTAAAAAGGCTCGAGCTTTCTTCTTTGGCCGATCAAACGTGTGTAATATAAACATCCGTCTATATGTGTACTATATAGCAACGGTGCGAACGCAACAACGCTCACGAGCGCAAGAGCCTGAGCCATTGTGATACGTGCACGCGTTATACGTGTGTGTGTGTGTGTGTGAGCATTAGTGCTGTATACAGGTATACATTTCGGTATCTAGCGTAGACGCACAGTGAGTGCAGTTTGCGAGTAAAATGCACGTCACGTCGTGGTTCGCTGTGAAGCCGCCACCGCGGCTGCTGTTACTGGCTGCGGCTGTGCTGACGCTGCTGATGGCCGACTCCGACTGCCGACAACATGACAGCCAGAACAAAGGTGAGCCATTACTACTGCTCTTACTGCTATTATTCTTTTTTTTCCGCCACCATCGCCAGTTTCCAGCTTCTATAAGTATTCTGTCGATGTCTTTCCATATATCCATTGTACGGCTCTTTTTTCATCGCGAAACTCTTTTTTTTTTTTGGGTACCTTAAACGAATTACAGTCGCTCTTCCAAACGTAAAAAATGACGACTCATAGAGTAGCAGCGCCGAGTGCATGCGCTCTAATAAGACTTTAATAGATTGAACTGATTGTGGCGCATGGTGTGCCGAAAGACTGCTCGCCCGTCTTTGATCGCTCCCCATATACGAGTGAGATAGCAAAAGGGAATGCGTATATATAGAGGACGAAGGGATGCGCAGGTCCCGCCTGTGAAAGCCACTCGCTAAAAGCACGTGTTACACGTGTTTGACTGAGTCGGAAAGGTTGCGAATTGCGAACGACTATGTAGAGGTGACATTCATTTACTCGCATTGAAAACTACCTTAAATACTCATGTTCGTATTTATAAAGTTTTGCGTAATTCCTTCGTATTGTGCGATCTACTTGTGCTCAGTTAGATTTAATTAGTTCCTACTTAAAATTTGATTTTTCTCTTTTTGAAGTTCGTTCGCTGAATTTTCATGCTTTACATCTTCTGCGAGAGAACGCAAGTAGTTCAGATTATACTAAATCATTTATTTTGAGTTACAGCATTAAAATTTGCATTTTGTATCGATCCAAATTTTTTATTTTTTAAATTATTATAAACGAAATTGGAGTAACATGAAATATATTCGATTTACGTGCACTTTGAAACTCATACAGTTTTAATAGATATACATTTATTCGAAATTTTCGAAATCAGTAAAAGTATATTGAAGCTTATTTCATGCATCAAGTGAGTATTTGAAACGTTATTGATCACAGGATTTTTAGCAGAAAATTACATTAATGACGATGCGATATAAGTGAATGCATTAAACTAATAAAATATTTAAATACAAAAATAATAAAATGGTCTTGAAAGTACAGAAAGAATATGAAATTTGCAGTTAACAGACCATCGATTTATTTATCTTTTTTGTTTTTTCCTTTCTTAGTTTACTTCTATTTGTCATAAAATTACACTCTACTGCTATTAAAAAATTTTCTGTACACTTTTACCACCACAAAATAAAACTACATAAAGGGACACTCTAGTTCATATAGATCTCCGCAGAATTCGAGATATGAATAACTGTCAATTCACTAAAAGCGAATCACGCGTATCCTTCGGCGCAACAACTTTACACTTGCACTGGAGAGGAAATTCACCAGCTATAAAACAAAAGCAGACGATGATTGCGTGATGCACAGTGTACATGAGTGCGTATATAAAACGCGAGAGGAAGCAAAATAGAAAGAGAGAGAAAAAAACAAACACCGTAGTGTATCTGATGTGCGCGGAGAAAGAGGCAAATAGCACTGATACTTTACATCTAGCTTTTATTTACGATGCTCTATATACGGAGCTGCAGCGGAGTAACACTTATACTTTACCTTTGTCAAAACAGACAGAAGCATTGATTATGAGTTTAGTAATCAAGGAAAGTGCTACTCGCAATTTCATCCGATCTGAGGGATACATGCGTACGGTGCGTGCCGCGTGCTACTTCGTATGGAGCGCTATATAACCGTCAATGTAAAATCAGCTAAAAGTTTTAAGTGCGAAGGAAAAAAGGTAAAGAAAGAAGCGAACCGAGCTCGGAAGCGTGTGAAAAAAGTAGCGATACGCTCGCGTGGAAAAAATAGCCATTAGTTTGATTAACCACGTCAGAGCTTTATTTTTGCAACTCCCTTGCTCGGGCCATAGTTTGTTGTGTGCCGTGCGAGCGCACCTAAAAAAGAGCAGGTCAGAGAGAAAGAGAGAAAAAGAGGGAGGGGAAGAGAGCGAGAAGTATACACTGTATACAAGACAAATAATATCCGACTCTTTCGTCAGGGATCAGAATTCGTGTGTCGGCTATCTGTACAATGACCGACCCACACTCGTGCGAATATTGATTGACTGTTTTTCATCTGGCCTGACAAAAAATTATGACTGATCCGTTTCTTTACGATACTTCATCGAATTGCTCTCTCCCTCTATCTACGTGGTGCTGGTACACGTGTTTGCGCACGTACATACATGTGCGCGAGAAATTCGGTTGGCGTTCTGATTGCTTTGTGCCTCAAGGGGCCACTATAGTTGTTAAACTTTTTACTAGTATCGTAAATACGTGCTCGCACGAATGCACCTTGCTTTGTTTTGTTTTTCAAACGAGTTTTCCGGAAAACGTGTGCTTACACGACTCCATGAAAATGTTATTGTTGGCTGGAGTTTCTGCTCCTCGATCACTACATGGCGTATCTAGTGTCACGGGAAGCTATTTTGTTTTCTCAATTATTAATAGCAGCAGGATAAACCTCTTTTTATTAAGAGAATTTGAAAATACGATTATGAATGAAGATCTTGTACATAAAAAGTGGCAAAATAAAGACTTTACTGACATCTACTTTTTCTTTCATGCAGTGGTCCCATAACAAATTCATTTATTTTTTCCTACTTGTTGGTTTATTATCATAAATATGCACAGTAGCAATTTTAATATAAATATTTCAACAAAATACTCTCATTTCTGCTCGAAAAAACTTTCTCGAAACATAAAATTATTTATTACCTAAACATGAATTCTGAAAATAGAAAGTAAAGTATTTTATGCACATATCTATATGCTTGCACGTTGCTTCACGCACACGAGAAATATATTTTGAGCACATGGCCTCACTCGAGCATACACACAATCTTTTACGAACGAGCTGTGATATTTCATTTTCCATTGATGACTCTTGACTTTCAAGCGGGAAAATACGAGAAAATTTTAAACACAATACAAGGGTATGAGTGCAATTTGATGTCATAGCGCTTTAATTATTCAATTATCCGGGGACTAAAACATGCAAACACATGCTTATTTTTATTTAATTTCAAAATTTTTAACTCGTCATTATTTTTGATCGATGAATCAAATGGTCTTGTGTCATTTTTATTATTCGTTACAGGGGCGCCAGTTGCATGAAAACCATTAATTAGCAATCTAATTGAAAGACGGTATTTTCGATTGCTAAAAGGTAGACATACAGAGAGAAATAAATTTCACGTGCAATTACGTTAAAATATAATGCTGATTCGTGTGTTTTATAATTTGGTTTTTAGCATTATTATAAGTTTCAATATGTTGATTTTTACCTTAATTTTATTTCAAAAAAATTTCGTTTTTTTTTCTAAAGTAATGTCAAAATCTCAAAAATCATTTTTTAGAATGTCTCTCGGCGCCATCACCTCTCATATTTTATCTACTTAAATGGTGTGTCAAATTCGGAGAGGATGGGTCAAGTAGATTTTGAGTTACAGTAGCCATCGTAATCGATCTTTTTTTTTCGTTGTGAGAGAAAATTTGCTGTAGCTAGCTCATTTTTGTTATTTTGAGCTGAAAATTGTGCTGGATAATTTATACTCTGTTCATGTGCTCCGTACTCTTTATATATTCAATTTTTTCAAAATTTTTTGAGGGAATGTAAATGGTTTTAAGTAAACATTTAAAAATTGTTCAAAATTACACATCAAAAGTTCGATGCAAAATTTTATCCAGAATGATTCAATAGACCAAAATAATTATGAATTTGAATATATAAGTTTTAGTATCTGTGGGTCTACTAGAATGTTAAAAACTTTTGTTTTTTAACCTACTTCACAAGAGTGGGTAGTTTTTTTACGAGACTTTTGAGCTCATCACGCTTATTACGATACAGCCCATATCCAAGCTCAAACAAGACGCACATAGTCAGCCAAGTATACTCCTCTGTGTCTCTCCGTCTCTCTCTTCTCTGTTCTATATGCATTGGAATGCGTTTCAACTTTAGCTTGGCATTATACTCAAACTACTGCGTATACACATACCGTGAATTTCGTTCTAAACTTTCTTATTATCATTTATCTTCTTCTCTCTGCTGCTGCCGCTGTGCTAGAATGCCCAAAATATCTACTTTAATGTGTGCCGTTTTGAAAATATCAACAAGAGTCAAGCGGCTTGGAAAGAAACAAAAAATTAACCAAGCTTTGATCAAAGCCATAAAAGAATAACCGTGAACTGTTTGCTAATTTGAACTTGCACTGACGAAAGGTTGGGCTAATGTTCCTGTGACCCTGAAAGGTGAATGAACGACGTCTTACAATTCAAAAAGTTCCAATGAAAAGTTCAAATAATTCAATAATTATTATTTTTTAAGTTTATTTAACTTTTTAAATTACATAAATCGAGCTCATGATTTTTTGCCTTCGTTAAGATTTTTCATTATTTTTCAAAACCATATAGTACGTTTTAAACGATTTTAGGATTTCAGCTTTACATAATATCAAAATTGCCTCAATATAATAAAGTAACGAGAATCTCATATCCATTTCATTAAAGTTGAATTTTGATCTTGAACAAAAAAGTACAAATTGATATTGTCTTAGAATTTCAAAATTTTACGAAGCAAAACAAAGTAGTAAAATTCAGTGATGAAAATAAATAGAACTCAAATAACATTTTTGATGGTTTAACTTTAATTTTAGAAACCCAAGCTTGATACATATTTATTTGACATCTAGAGTATCGATATGATAAAAAATGTGTTTTTTTTCGTTACTAAAACGTGTATTCGAACGCGCATATCGCTTAAATATTTCTAGGGATTATTTTAAGCTGCAGTAAAGTTCACATCTGTTTTTAAAAGTATCTTGCGCATTGCACGAAGCTTTTTTTAATGTTTACTGAATAATTGTATGAATGAAGTGTGGGAGTAAGCGAGGGATAGAGAGAAAATGCAAAGATCGCCCTCAAAGTACACATAATCTCTCGTGATTAATTATATCCAATGCCAGCGCGCAGCAGAGCGCGATTCAGCACTTTTTCCACTGCCATCCAAGCGGAGTTAAAAGTCCTTTATCA